TTCTTCCAAGTCTCATGATCCTTCTAAGTTCGAGTTCAAGAATAATCTATTATATTTTGAAGGACGCCTATATGTTCCAGAAGGAGAAGCACGTTTACGTGTTTTTCAAGCACGTCATGACTTTCCAGCAGCAGGGCACTTTGGATATAATAAGACTTTGGAACTCATATCAAGAGATTTTTGGTGGCCACAAATGTGGAAGTCAGTCAAAGACTTTGCACAATCATGTGATATTTGTTCAAGATCAAAAATTCCTAGTCATCGACCTTACGGACTTCTTCAGCCATTACCTATACCAGAACAACCATGGTCTTCTGTTTCTATGGATTTCATCACAGATCTTCCAAGCTCAAGATCTTATGATTCTATATTTGTAATAGTAGATCGATTCACCAAGATGGCACATTTTGTGCCATGTACAAAATCTATCACATGTGAAGAAACAGCTAAGCTTTTCATTGATAATATCTATCGCTATCATGGATTACCTAAAGATATCATATCAGATAGGGGAACTCAATTTGTGTCAAGATTTTGGAGGACCCTTTTCAAGATTTTAAAAGTGGACATAAAGCTATCTTCGGCTTTCCATCCTCAAACTGATGGACAAACAGAGCGCGTAAACCAAGTCTTGGAGCAATATTTAAGGTGTACTATCAACTACCAACAAGATGATTGGACAACCCTTCTGCCATTGGCAGAGTTTACTTATAATAATACGATACATTTTTCCACGCAACAAACACCTTTCTTTGCCAATTATGGCTATCATCCACGACTTGATACTTTTGATTTTTCAAAAGTTGATAATCCTACAGCAGAAGATATGGCAAATCGGTTGTCAGAGTTACATGCAATAATGAAGACGCAATTGAAGGAAGCTCAAGAACGACAAAAGATAAACGCAGATCTATATCGTAAGGAGCAACCACAAATCAACGTGGGTGATAAGGTATGGCTACTTCGTCGTAATATCAAGACTACTCGACCTTGTGACAAGTTGGACTATCGTAGGCTTGGCCCCTTTTCTGTTTCTGAACAGATCAACCCAATTGCATATCGGTTACATCTACCGGAGTCAATGAAGATCCATCATGTATTCCACGTGTCTCTTCTTGAACCATATAAGACAGTGGATATACAAGGAAGAAGACAATTGCCACCGCCTCCTATAGAAATAGATAATAATGAAGAATTTGAGGTGGAAGAGATATTAGACTCAAGGTGGCGCCGAAATAAGCTGGAATATCTTGTTCATTGGCGCGGATATGATATTAGTGAACGCACATGGGAGCCATCCAGGAATCTAGGAAATGCATCAGCTAAAGTCAAAGTTTTTCATCAACGACATCCATCAAAACCAAGATGAAAATCTTTCTTATAAAAGAGACAAGATTGAGGCAAGATAACATTCAATTTCCTATCCTTGTTTGTAACTTCTTTGCATTTGTGACGCTAATTAGATGGAGAGCCAACAACCAGCGGATTCAACTCAAGAACCTTCGTTTGCTGACCTGCCGGATAAGACATTACGATTGTCACAACCTTCAAGACGACGCAATCGAGATGAAGATCTTCAAGAACGACATGTTCTTCCTCGAACAGATGGTGACATACAACGCATTTGATATCACGATTTGGAAAGGGATTCTCGATGTTTGGTGATTTTGCTAGAAGTAGGAACAACTCCTGATGGTGTTCCGAATATTCTATTCGAAGGAAGTTACGAAGGCCTCAACAATGATCAAATAACTGGGTGGTCTTCCCGCCCTGGTATGGGACACTACCGATGGTTGAGAGGCCCTATCAATCATCTTCGAAGAGAACAGAGATCAGAGTATGTGGCGAATACAATTCGTCGCATCATAGATTTCCTCAACATATGATGACCGCTCCTCGTGGAACTCGTCTCTAGAAGGGGGGGTAATGTCACGGCCATAATCATGTAAGCTAATAATTACATATAGAAATAGGTAGAAGTAAGTAAAAGTAGATAAAAGTAAGTTAATTCTATAATATTTAATATAGAAGCTTCCTAGAAACTTCCTAGACACTGCTTTGACTTCATAGGTGTCTTTAATTGACTTTTTGGATTAGAAACGTGGTCAACAAGTTGGCCATGTGCCACACATGTTGTTAGCTTGAAGATCAAGCTAACTATGTGGCCCACACATAGAAAAACTTGCCTTGTAAGTCAAGGCATGTGTCCTACAAAGTCAACACATATTGGAGGTCCTATAGAACGTCGCCATGTAGCCCCTAGTTAGATAGTATATATAGAGACAAGAGTGAAGGCTTCTTCACTCTTGTCAACTCCTTTCTTACTTCTAGTCCAGGTTCAAGAGTCTTTAGTTTCTTGTCTTGTGGCAATAGCCATTCCAGTTTCCTTTTAATATACCTACTTGTTTATATTTTGACTTATTATATCGAGATAGCCTTTTTGTGTATATTTTCCCTCATCGAGTCTTTATCCTTGACAGTATATGAGCAAAAGAAAAAAAGCAAAGCCTAATGACTTATGCAAATTGTACTTTGCAATTGGACTTTTAGAGGTTATAACTTTATTGTTGTAGTTGTTTTTATTAAGGCAATAACAAATAGTTGTAATAGCACATGTAGTTGTTTTCAAGAATGTATGTGTTGAATTTCTTTGATTGAGAATTGGCTGCCAATGTGTGTTGGTTGGTAAGATATAACTAATGATGATTATAAAGAAAAACAAGAACTTGTTAATGAATTTCTTAGTGGTTTTAATATTGAGGTATTTCATTGCAATTTATTGGCCTTTTAAGTTTTGATATTTATTATAATTATAGGTCTAGTTTTATTCTAAAGTATAGCATGATAGTTTATTTTGTTAGTGCATGAATGCATTTGAATTTTGGGAGCAATTACACATAGTTATTAGATGTGAGGTTATAAACAACACAAATATGTGCTTTGTACATGATTCTAGAAATACACTTCAATCACTTTGAATATATTAGTTGGATTCCATTGTTTTAGGAAATTCATTAATATTGGCTTTTTCCTACAATAAGTCAAATTTGGCAATGGAGAAAGAAGGAAGTTTTTATTGCATTGGAAATTGGCTAAAATCCTAAGAAAGAAGATGGTAAAATTAAAGAAAGCAAAAAAATTTTGTAAAAGTCTATTTAAACTTTTGTGATTGTAAGATAAACCAAAAAAAAAGTGAAATGTGCAATATAAGAGGTATTTTCAAAGATTTAGTACTTGGTACTATTTGAAAGTATAATCAGCAATCAATATGAAAAACTCAAGCTTCTACATTTTCACAAAAAAAATAATCTTACAATTATTATTTTGTGAAGTTGATTACATGTAGCCATCAGTTTTTTACAAATCAATCAAATTGTGTAAAAGATTTCTTTACATTCTTGAAGTAAAATCTCAAGCCAACTATTAATCTATATTATAAATCATTGTTTATTGAATCAAGACAAAGACAAGCCCTTGGCATCAAAAGATGGAATTAAGGTGTAGGATGCAAATTTTGTGAAGATGTATCAAACAATGCTATTCAACTTGATCTTGGTAAGGAATGAGGTATTGGTTTTGATATGAAATATGGGCATGTAGAAGTATTAGAGTTGTACAAAGTGTAAGGAGGAGGGAAGGAGAGTAACAAGTAAGGTATGAGGTGAAGATAAGGAGTAGTACCAATGGGAAGGAGTGGAATGATGGAAATATGTAGCAAACTATCTGAACATCAAGAGCCTATTGGATTTGACGTATTAAACTATGGCAGATAGAATAAAGGAAAAGACACTAGAAGAGAAGATCCATAAGACATTCAACATTAAGAACAACTTCACCTTCAAGGAAGAAGAGGATGAAATATAGAAAGAGAATCAATAGATATTTGAGTAGGACATCATCAAATTCTTTTTCTCCGGTGGATTGTTTGGATCTTCTATCTCTATCAGCCAGTTTTGTTAGATAATGAATACAATTATTTTATTGATTTCAACTTCATTCATGTGCTAATCCTATGTAATTGATATTTAAAATCCAAGATTAACTTATTGATATTTTTGTTCACTTTTACAATGTTGTTAATATTATCAATAGAATGTTCTAAAAAGAGGTTGAAAGTACTTTTCAAGCTCTATAAAATAATGAACTATGTTTTACATATTAGCATGTTCAAAGTGTATTTTGATTATGTTGATAAAGTTCTATGTGGTAGTAGTTATGTATTAATTTGGTTGGTATACAAATCAAACATATTAAGTGATTATCATTAAAATATTTGAAATTGTTAGAAATATTGCATTGTTTATCATCTTAATTTTGATAGTAATATTATGGCCAAAAACTTTGGATTGTAAGTTGGTCAAAAATATTTAAAAATTATTTATTGTTACAAAACTCAAGAAAATCTATGGTATTTTTGTAATTTAAACTTTTATAGTTTTTTTGTGGCCAATGACGTGGATTTTTGTTGTATATATATGATGAAAATTTCTTTCTAGTCTAGAAGTTTGATACAAAATTAAAATTATAAAACTATTTAAATTCACAAAAAAATATATAAAATATAAAATATAAATTTGTGTCCACATATAAATCAAATGATTTGTCATGGTTCCATTGAATAAAACAATTAATAAGCCACCTTCAAAGCTATGAATTCTCAAGTATTAAAAATAGAATACAAGTAAGAAATCCCATCTCATTATACTAGATGTTTGTAGTTCACAATTCATACAAAAATACTAGCAATAATACTAAACATGTCCAATACTGCTCAAGACAATTTCTGAATGCATATCTCAAATGAATTCTTGCAAATTAGAAACCTAAATTTCAGACTTTGAAGAAATAGATGATAATAGAGTATGAATGTATCTTCCCTAGACATTGATTAAAAAAATGCTTACTTTCAAAACCATTTTCCTATGTTTAATGTCTTGAAATGCATATCGTAATTTTCCTGTTTCATAGAAAAATTAAATAAAATCACATTTGAGATGAAATACAAAGATAATCGGCAATATTTGATTGTAGTCACAGAAAAATCTTATCGTGACCAAAGCTGCCTACACTAAACAGTCTTTTCTTTCCTATTAATCTAAGTATGGATTCTGTATGAAAAACAATTGTTCATGATCTTCCAGTGCCAAAACCAGAGTCAACTCTAAAGAAGCCAAAGCTTTTGAACCCTAGTTGCTTCTTCCAGACCTTCGGTTCATTTTATCCTGTAAACTGCATGAAAAAGTCGAAGGGAAAAAGAAAATAGAAACTACAGTGTCAACCAGATGCACAATTGTTTGTGAAAGTTTAATAAGCATAAATTTTACAAATGGTATCTCCAAATAATTTTGTAAGCTCCCTTGTTGAGCTTTTTTGGGTCTGGATTGTACTCGCCAATTGTGGCACCCTTGTCTGTGAAAGGACTCGCAGCCATTACTTACATAAAACTGAAAGAGTATCACCCATGCTGGACATAGTTGGGGCGCAAATTATGAGCTCTGCTGAAGTGAATAAAAAATATATAAAAAAGTTGAATGGAATTTAGACCTACGAGTTTACATTAGAAGAGCTCCATGCTGCAAATGAGAGTTTGCCTGAGAAAATCATACCAGAAAATTCATCTGCTAAAAAAAAGCAGGAGCTAGAGCAACGTAAGATGTCCACATGACGGCAATGGTTGGATTGATCTGAAACTTTGAATCAATTCACGTAGGCAAGTTTGAGATTAGTAAATCTTGAAACCAAATAGCATGGTCGCCTTTGTCCGGCTACGTGAGACTAATGTAAGTCGGGTCAAAGCTCAATAACATGGCAGCTTAAAATTACGTCTTCAGAATCTGGCAACCCATTAATCGTTGACGCCACTAATATTCCCCCGCTGGTGGTGCTAGCCTTGTCAGTATTCAAAACAAGAGTCTTTAAACCTCGGCCGACAACATAAAGGTTTTTCTCTATAGCGGCCAATCTGCAAAGTAGCACTTGATAAGTTCCACCAGCATACGAACTACATAAGAAACACTACGTATCAATAGCACAATCATAGCTGCCATAATGCAGTGGCATGATGAACACATGACCCTTACACCATTCAAAATCCAAAACAAAAAAAAAGGACGTATGTGCGCATTTCGTACACAAATATGAAAGTATAACATTTAAAAGACGAAGTCTGATGTGAGCGGACCTGCAAGGCAACCGGATAGAAAGTGGCGAAAAACGGCCGATACGATCCCATTCACCTGATTCTTTGTCCAACACCATGAGCTTGATACCAAACGATTGGTCAAGCATGTACACATCATTTCCGGTGACGGCTGTAGGACCGCACCACTTTTTCACCATTTCGTTATCTACAGCTGCCCACGAACTCTCGACTGGATCGAACACTGCAGCGTATGAACCCATATAACCTGAACGAGCGCTCGCATGTCGTACATAGATTTTACCGTCCATTACAAGCGACTCCCCCAGGTCAGGCACAACGTTTGGATCTTCTCGGAAAAGCCTTTCATTAGTCTGAGGGTTGAAGACTTCCCATGACCTAAGAGCCGAAGAGGTGACACCCATACCTCCAACGGCGTAAAGACGGCCATTAAGGGCACCACTCACAATATAGCAGCGGGCTGTTTCCATTGCAGCAGCCTCTGTCCACTCATTTTTCACTGGGTCGAATTTATAGACCTCAGGAGTAGGAACATGAAAGTTTCCGCCTCCGCCTCCTCCCATGACATAGAGTTCCCTCTGCACGACTGAACATGTGACACCATATCTGCAACCACCTTGTCAACTTAGATGAAGATATCCAATAAAACAAGGCCATCCTGGAGCAGTTGCACGTAACCGAACAACAACCTCTCAGAGAAACTTCATAATTCAACATATAATTTTAGTCAATGGGCAGTTAAATTGATAGAATGAAAACGGTGTGGCAAAGAACTGTAATAATAAACTTTCCCAACTTTCGTCAAGATGTTTTCTTCACTAGACGTTCAGGTTAGTATGCCAATAGTAATAGATTCATCCAAAGCAAACAAGCTTAGGTTCACAAAAACAGACTCAATGTATAAATGAAAGTGATTCTTGAACAAGCACAAACTAAACCAGAACTCTCATAGTTCAGAGCTTAGACCATTCTTCGAGGTGACCGCAAAATGGTCCAAGCTTCTGAGTTATAAAAGAGTAACCTAGTTTGTGCAGATGAACATATGTTTGAAGTGGTGACGTTGGACACGTATATGCCAATTCCCATCCACAGCTCGAAACTCAAATTAGGAATCAACCTGCACCCTGCCACATAAAAGTGATCCAAGTTTACAATACAATGTAATTGTAGTTGAAAGTTGTACAATACCTGCGCAAGCAGTCGACCGGCATGCTTGGAAGCTCCTTCCACAAGCGAGTAACTGGATCCAGTACGTGCCAATGCAAACATTCAAAGTAATCCCGGCTGAAAGCATAGATCCAACCTTCGGTTACCTCCAATCTCTTTCGCAAAGAATAGTAATACTCACTGGCAATCATATTGCGCCATTCTTTACAAACACATCGTAAATTCAAGTGATGCCTCCGTGGCACTCGAGCCAGACACTGTAGGGCCAGGTCGTTGGGTAGGCCAGGAATGAGCACTATCACTTCCCCTTGAGCATGTTTGTTGGTTACACTCTGAGAAGAGTCTCCATTTATTTGAATAGCTTCATCAATATGTAAACCCGACATGCAATCATCCCCAACAGCCATCGTCCTGCAACATTTGAACAAAGCAATGAAAATCTCTGAAAAAAATTACTTGTATACACTCTTCTCACGGATTTTTTCCGGCAAAATAAATATGTATGTGGTTTCAGGCACAATAACCCTGGAACATCTTACGTAGTTACTATATGTAGGAGAAACAATGCAGACATCAGAGCACACAAAATGTCTTCAATAGGACCACAAAATATTATGTCTCAACCTCAACAACCGCAAGTTACAGCATGAAATTATTCTATGTAAAATAAAGTAAACCAACAAGAACACAGCAGTCGCTAATTGTGGTGGTTAATGCTTTGTAATTACATAGTATGATGCCGATTCAACTTCAACCACCAGATCAAAGGAAACACATCATACCATCATAATAGTTATCTTACATATGGTTGCCTTACATATGCATTTGATTGGACCACTCTCACCTTGTGATTGGTGGAAATAGTTGAGAGGCTACAAGAGTTCGACCTCCACACCATACCAAAGAATAACTCCGTACATGCGCACTAGTATCCTGGAATCTGTTCTCCATCTGCTTGACATCTATTCATAGTGGTGCCACTACCAGCCAGCCAATCTACCAAACTGCTGTGCTTTTGGGTTCAAGTTGTCCTCGAGAGAAATTTAGCAAATAGACTAAGGTCGTGATGCCATCAGTTTCTTGGAACTCTAATTGCTGGATCAAATGGCTCGAAAGAACAACAGTATTGGTCCAAGCATCTTTGTTACACACCACCCCCATTAACCCGAATCTGTTGAAAAGTGACCTTATGTCCACTTTAAAACTCCCAGAGATATAAAATCACTCTCCGAACCAGCAGAATCCTTTCTCTCTAATACTCCATAAGTTGGTCAGAAACTTCCTCGTCTGAAATAACGATATCCATCCCGTTTGTGAGGAATGTGGAATTCCTGAATGAGTACCGAATTTCGACATGAGCGTGAACGCACACTGATGCATGAATAATAATCAACAAATAAATAGAAGGTACGTTTCTAACTCTAAGCTAGAAGAATAATTTTCCTCTTGAGAGGCCGAGAAGAGGCAAGGGCTCATGACGACTACTTGCCAAGTTCTCCATCGATAGAGAACTCACCTCTGAAGATATCGCACACAGCTTAGAGAATGGAAAAGTTATGATATAATCCTCTGAACAAATACCTGAAAGAGAAGATCAATACAACCTACAGAATTACTCCCGTAACACACTCGATGAGTCGTAAACTGATCCGAAGTCACGCATTGAATCTTAAAATCAATTCCGAAGTTCATCTAGAAATGTGAACCTAACTGCACCGATGAAACTCCTGCATAGTGCACAATGCATTACCGTCTTCGTTCCATCTCTCCCTGTCTACCCACTTCCGTCTTCCCTTTTCTTCAGCTCCACACTCCGCTCATGGACAGAGCACCAATTCGCCCGAATTCTCCACGAATACCTCCTTCCTCCCACTGAATCTTAACGCCGATTACTCGTATCCTTAACCTCTCAAACCCCCAAATCGCCTTCCCCTTCTCTCTCAATCCCATAATTGTCACCACGTCTACCGCAATTCACATCGTCCCGCCAAACCCCAGAAACCCTACCCTATCGGTGAGCAATCACTAACTATAACCCCGTAATCGAAGCAACTGCAGCCCAAATCCTGGACCAAATACCATGGAATCAACAGTTACAGCGCAAACGAAAAAACTCCGGCACAACGCACGAAAATTATCTGGAAACCCACAACGGCAAATTAACGACCACGCAACGAGCTCGCGCGCGCTTCGATGCAGCACTGCGACGGATGCAAGCCAGATTAGCAATGGAATCGATGATGACTTCGCAAGGGCCCCGTTTAGGTGGACATATCCCCCATCTATACCTTAACCTCGCCAACTTTGAATGACACCAACAGCAACAACATCTACTACGACTACTACTGCTACAACAGCAAACCCTAAAACTGGCTTGCTCTAGAAACCAGCTACACTTCCAATTAAGAGCTGTGTAAACTAGTGACAGCTTCTTCTTCAAAACAACTCTCGAAATTCATGCAATATGCATATACACTAACTAGTGGAAACCAATGCCCTTTGCCTCTAAAAATATATATTGGAATTTATTTACTGAAAATTACAATTGGGAGTTGGGTGATCTTCCAGTGCTACTCTGCAATCTGCAAGAACGACATGCAGATTTGAGTTATTAGTTTACTTTTAATGAAAACAATGAGATTTGCTGTGAATCAAAGATGGTTTTTGTCTCTTTGGTGGTTGATGCTTGAGCTGTTATATATAATGGATATATATATATATATATATTTACATTTGTAAGCATACCCACACATATCCATTATTATTTTTTGTGTACTGTATGTATATAGTGAGAAAATTGGACTTCAGTGGCTTGCGTGAAGTGTAAGAGGAAACCTTTAGTGAATAGTGTAATAATAAAATTCAAGGATTTTGAATGAGTTTTGGAACTAATGCTTAACAAATGATTGAGCCTGGCTTTTGAAGAAATAAAATATGTGGTAATACATCTGAACCAGTCGTGTATGTGACTCCACTAAAGGTAAAGTATGGATAACACTTTTGCTTCACTTTGGTTGAATATTCCCTCAACTGCAGACACTTTTGTTCGAGCTTCACTTACACTGAAGTTATTTTGAATGCTTTCTTGGTGAAGGGGAGACATTCAACTTGAGGTTCATTTCACATGAACAACATTTTGATTTTTTCTTATCAACTAATTATATATATTTTTAGTTAATAATTGGATATTTTCATGGTAATAAGAATAAAAATAGGTTGTGCACCACTTAAACGATTAGAACATTGTCTTTGAAAAGCATTTTACTTATGTTCTTTACTTATGCAACAACATAAAGAATACTAAATTTAACTTTGATATAATGTTAAATCTTTGACAGTGCGGAAAGTCATTTATAAATTTAGTAAAGTGCAAATATGCAACAACACATCTGCATCTTGTAAATATTCTGAAGACCCAGTTTTTTTCTTTTTACTTTATTGTAAGAAATTACACACAAATCATTAGGCAATGGTGACTCCGTTAGAATTATTTGATTTATTCAACACATGTTGTTCAGAATTCTTTACTTGGTTAATTACATGAGTTTAAGTTAGTTTGGAAAAAGATGGTAACATTGTCTGAGTTTAAGAAAGTTTGGTAATGCAAAATATTTTTCCAAGATTTACAAGGATTCACGGAATGTCTGTATTATTTGTATTTTTCACAAGATTATGTTCCTTGTGTGTTCCGAATCACTCACTTCACACCACCACTGTAATCTTGTAGCCTTCAATTGACAATCAGCTCACTAGTAGCTAAATCTTTAAAAAGATATGGTGACCTATTAAATAGCTAAGGGAATAGCAAAAGACATGGCATTAGAATGTTAAGTAGTTGCAGTTGAAAAAGAGCTACAAAAAAAAAAAAAAAAAAAAAAAAGGGAACATGGAGATGAACGTAGCAGGCACCAGTGCATCTTTTTTTTGACACAATATTGTCACTGATAGAGATGTTATTAGAACTCTGAGCAAGCTGAGAGTGATAACCATTTATCAATAACATAAGTATGACTGTAAAATACTGGTTGAAACTCAGTTTTACAGGGTAGTAATTCTGCGCATTGTGATTGTTGAAAATCAAAAAAAAAAAAGAAAAAAAGAAAAAAAAAAAGGAAAGAATGTGAATCTCACATATGGCTGTATTGATAAGTGTGAACAAACTTGTGAAATTTGAAATTGCTAACCACAAGTTACCACTTTCAAAGAAGGTTACTTTTGTATTTGTAATATTTTTACAGGAATGTTTAAATAGACCCATTCTTTTACTTAATAGACCGATCAAATTTTTATTGGTTGCAGATCCAATAGTGGAGAAATGTATCTAGAGGTCATTTATTTATTTATTTTCATGATGGTTAGAATGCGTAAATTCAGTAAAAGTTTGAGTCTATTTAACATTCCCCTATTTTTATTTCCAAAGGGCAAAGAACTACACTAGAGCAGGTATACCAATTCTAAATATGGTTATTGAGTTCATAGCATATTTTTAACTTATTAAAGAAGTGAAATACAACATAAAGTTGGTGTGACAGCACAAAGAGATATAGTAATCCAAGCATATATGAATGTAGATTTACAAATAGAATTTTGCACCATTAATAGAAAGTCCTGATTTCTCAACAGTTTTTATTTTTATTTTTATTTGCTTCTTTTCTTTTCTTGCTGTTAATCTATTCCAATTTTGTGATAATTTTTTGGATTTAGATTCTGCTCTGGGTAGATAACACACACCTTCCTTGTACCCCATTTGTGTTGCAATGCTTTGCTCACCTTTATTGCAAGCAAAAGAACTAAGCAACTCTACATTTAATTGGTGCATTGATGGCATGCTTGTCATGAGCCTAACCATGCCTTTGGTCTAGAAAAGAACTAAAAGGTGATGGTAAAGGACATTGGAGGAGTTTTGCAAAAAAGGCTTGAAGAAGGTGTTGGTGCCAATTTGATTTTTGTGTATCATGCAAGTGGCCATAGTGGATGTTCTACATGTTTTTTTTTTGGCATGTATGTATATTTATTTTTCCACTGCTGGGTCTTATGTGAAAAGGGATTTCGACGGGACGTGGTGTGAAACGAGTTTCGGAGGAGAGGAAGAGAAGGTCTGCAGCGTGCGGAAGGCCTGCAACAGATAAGCCACGGGAGTCGCGGGCCGAAGGGGTTTGATTCGGCAAAGCGGATGGCCGTGAGTGTTAAATAAGGTCGAGAGCGAGGGATATTGAGGTGAAAGAATGGAAAAAGACGGCCGAGAATGGGATTGGAAATCATTGTAATGGTTGCCGGATGCGGGGTTGCAAGGAAGCTTGGACGGGAGCGGGGCCCGTAGCCCTGGATCACTGCACGCAGGTGGAAGGAAGGGATTGAGGAAGGCGAGCCGGAGGAGCGAGAGCTGCTTTCGAAAGCACTGCTGAGCGTGGGCCCGGACGAGGACGGAGTTGCGTGGGAATGGGGGAGCGCGCGAAGCATCCAGAGGGGAAGTGGGGCCCTCCTTTGACCTCCATGGGAATCAAGCGTATTGCTCCTCATTGGCCAACGCTCGCAGGTCACTTTGGGACTCGCGGGGAGACCACCCTCAATGAACTGCGGCGCCAAGAGGGCGAGCATCACAGGGCAATGCCAGGTATTGGGAGTAAACGAGTGAGTGAGGGAGGGAAAGAGGGAGAGAGAGAGAGACGGCACGAGACGAGACAGAGGAGGGGAAGAGCAAGGCTGGAGAATGAGGAGGCGCTCGAGCTGAGATTATGTGCACGATTTGAGTCGTGAATGAGATTCCTTGTTTTTGTACTCGTGTGTGTTGGGTTCTTTGCACGGAGCCTTGCCTGCACCAGCTTTGGAAGGGCTCGCTTGTTGGTCGAAGGAGGTCGTTGTGATGTTGTTGCACAGGGGTTTACGCAAGAGAGGAGAGTGCAGACACGTAGTTGTCGCGGTGAGATATTTGTGATTTAGGGCTTGGATAGGGACAGGAAGTTGGTATAGTGGAGTGCCTTGTTCTCGAGGGTGGAGGTGCAAGGTTTGAGGTTTATTGCCAGTGGAGCTTCCGAGTTTGCACAGCGAACAGCAGATTTTGCACTACGGGATCGGGGGTTCCGAGTTCAGAAGCGAAGCGCAAGGAGTTATTGCGTTGTTTGTGCTATTGATGCAGAATCCTGGTTTTAATTATCTACTGTCTGCAAGTTCTGGGCACTTGAGATCCGATGGTCGAGTTCATTATCTGAAACTAGACGCATCGTGGCCCCGTGGTTTGCTTACGGCTTGGTCTATCAGGTTTGGAGTCGATTGAGGCTGGCTAAACAGTCGGCCCTCCAGTTCGCAATGCGATCGCTGTGTGGAAGTCCATATGTGATTGGTGGCGTGTCGGATGTTGATCGACAATCTCTGTACCTTGTGTAGAGTACTTACTTTCGCATGAGACTCATGTTCATCCCCTGGGCTCACAATGGGCATGGTTTCTGTGTTTGGGTTCGGAGAATGATTGGTTTAGACGTTAAATTTTGTGATACAGGCTCTCTCCCGTTCACCTAAACTCTGCATCTTTGTTCAGACAGTTTCATTAGATACTGGGAAATGCTCATGAGGCACTGGCTTCAGATGGGAGCTTTTATCGTGCACGATACATCGCAGACCAGCTTCTATAATCTTCCCGCGTAGAGTCCGTAACTCTCCAAGCCAGGTGTACTACTTGAAGCCGGAATTTTGAATAACATAGCAGGATTTACTCCCTCCCCTGTTGAGGACGGGGTTTGGACCATTTCAAAGATGGACGCTTTTAATAGTCGAAGAAATTTCACAGTTTTGCAGAGCTTTCAGGAGCCCGCAAATGTTCAATGGGGTGGTGATGAGGCACATCGGGTCTTAATCGTCATCGACGCGGGGAAAGAATTGTCGTATACAGCTGTGGATTGGACTCTTGATCACGTCCTTCAAAGTGGGGATATCTTAAAGCTTCTTGGTGTTATGCAGCAGGTTTCTACTCCTAGTAAGGCGGGATTTCAAGCGGGTCTTTCAATACGTAAGTGACTTTATCGAATGCAAATTCGGTAAATTATTGAAACTGCAATTGGTTTCGCTTGCCTTTTTCCTTCAGTCTAGTTTCTTTTCAGCTGCCTGGAAAGTGGTTTTATGTTGAAGTGCAGTCCTTGTCAAAAATCTATGGGAGGCCTTATCCCTCGACGAACTCTTATCGACTTATAGTTGGTGAGGTGATTATTATTCAGAACACTTTGGTGGCAGTTCTGGTTCTCAACCTGTTGCTATGACCTGGTGCAGTGGGATACAAATCTTGGGCTGAAGAGAAGGGTTTGAATCGCTCTGTTTTGGGTTCAGAATTGCAGAGCAAAAAACAGGCTCTTCTAAGTAATTTAGATCTTCATCTGAGATGTCAGAAATTAGGGGTAAAGTAACATATTCATCAAAGCTTGCTCCTTACTTCGTGCCTGTTTTTAGCTTGGGGAGTATATTTAGTTGAAATGTGACCTCAGTGCTCGGAGAATGGTTGAATGCATAAGTGGTCCTTCAGTCGATATGCTGCCTTTCCTTTGATTCTCACTGGCAACCTTAAACCTTGAATCAGGAGCTTATATCTTCAATTTTTTTATTCATGCAGGTGACGTTGGACATTGATGTTCAAAGTAGTCGTGATATCAGGTCTCTTGTCGTGGAGGTAGCGAAGAGTTTTGGGGCGCATCATGTTGTACTGGAAAGGTGTGCTCTTTTATTCCTTCTCATATGTTTTAACATCTGCCTAAGTTTGTATAGTATCTTAGTATACCAGAGCAGGTTCTCGCAACAAATCAGGATGTAATTCTGATATTACAGGGAAGTTGTCCCAAAAAGTGAATCTTGTTTAATCTAACCTAAATTTATCTTATGACCACCCTGCTAATTAGGAATATGAAGAAAGATAAAAAATATTACATCGACAACCTCACATGCTACGTAACGCGTGTGAAGACCTTCGACTCCTGTCAACCACTGCGTCCTGGCCTGCACCCAGACATGATGGTGCGACCGATTAGCCCTGTGATCGGTTCTCAAAATCCTGGTATTTACCGTCATCCCCAACAGCTTGCTACGGCAGCAGACAGCGATCAAATCAGTGCGCAGGACCAAGCCGAAGACATTGAAAGTCAAGTTGCATCCGACCAGGGCAGTACGGCATATATCAATCCAGTTATGAGACATGATATAATTGCAGTGAGACAGTGGCTGGAGGATCAAGGTAGTCCAGAGCTTGGTAAGACCCTGAACTCATTCTTTCAGTCGCAAATTGCTATCTGATTTGGTTGGAGCCAATTAAGATACCGCTAATACATCTGGACTAAGTTCCAGTAAGTGTAATTTAGTTCACATACTATCAAATATCTTTATCACTCAACGTCATCAAGTAGGACTGGCCACTGCATTGATGTGATATTCATTTTATTCATATTTGTATTTTATATTCTTCATTTATGTTTTGTTATTTTGTATTCCAGTAAGTGAAATTCGTCGACTTGCTGCTACCTGTTTCTCAACCGAGCTGCAGTAACCATCTGTGCTGGTCATTGTGATGGCAGGTATCTATGCGCGGGAGGAATCGCTGCAGCTTAGTGAGTCGCCAATCTCAGAAATTGATAGTCCTTCTACAGATGATTCTTATCCCGACCAAAGCAAAGGTCCAAACAACGAAGTGGGAATAATGTATTCATTGCAGCATCAGACGACTCAGCAGGGGATCTCAGAGGCAATTCCCAATTCATGTACTTCACCAGCATCAGACGACTCTCCCTCTTCTGTGACTCAATCCACTGAACCACAACTGCCATCAGCTAGACATATTGTAAGTCCCAATCATGCAGCAAGTAATCCTGTTGCAGTCATTTCGACTTCCACCTGTCCCAGAACATCAGCATTGGAACGATCTGATTCATCGTCCCCGGCAGACTATGATCCTAGAAATAGCAGTGGCGCACGACTAGGTCCTATTTCTGTTCAACCTCGACGAGTTGATGCAAGTTGGTCATTACAAAATCTGACGGAGTTATTAAATGGAGATGTTGGGAGTTATTTGTCTCCGCTGGGGAAAGCCAGAACCAAAGAAATGGAGAGCGATGTCGTGCCGGTCTCCGAACTATTTTCACCCAAGGAATCTAAGCAAGCATTGTCTTCGACTCGGTTGAATCCTGTGCAATTATCGAGTTCAAAATATTTGAACCCCGTGCAACCACTAGTTCCTCAGGATGTTCGGATGCCAGCTCAGAGAGTAACGGATGGATCAGCCGTTGTCAGACGACCAATGTTTGCAAAGAAAACAGGTCCTCAAGCTCCCTTCCTTTGCACTATTTGCAAGCATAAGACCCCAGAATTTGGCAAGGCAGTACGAAGATTCTCTTACGACGAACTCCGTTACGCTACGGATAATTTTAATCATCACAATTATTTAGCTCAAGGTGGATATGGGTCCGTGTACAGAGGGATTCTGCCGGAGGGACAGCTTATTGCTGTTAAACAACACAAGATTGCAACCTCGCAGGGTGATGAAGAATTTTGTGCTGAAGTGGAGGTTCTAAGTTGTGCACAGCATCGTAATCTTGTTACACTTATTGGTTATTGCGTGGAGAACCACAAACGGTTACTGGTCTACGAGTATATTTGTAACGGTTCACTAGACAGACATCTTTCTGGTGAGTTACATACGGACTTTGATATTTTAAATGTTCTTTGCGTTTACTTTTCTGTCCTTTATGATAATGCCATTCAAGATTAGTCCTTTTTAATCTCTTCACACTTTGATGTGTGCAGCAAAGAACAGGGAGTGTTTGCCTTGGAAATACAGGCAGAAGATTGCCCTTGGCTCAGCAAGAGCACTGCGGTACTTGCATGAAGAATGTCGAGTTGGCTGCATCGTTCACCGTGATATGCGACCTAATAATATTCTGCTCACTCATGACTTTACGCCCATGGTTGGAGATTTTGGACTTGCTAGGCGGCAAATGCATGGGGACATGGCGGAAGAGACCCGTGTGCTTGGTACTTTAGGGTAAGTCTTGAAGATTTTGAGTGAGCTTTGACGAGGCTTATCATTTTGATAGCTGCTACTGGGAGATCCTTAAAATCGCAGCAGCGAGCCTTGTATGATTAACCCTATTTTTATAAAGCTCACCATATCACTCCAGTGAATCTCCAAAATAGATTCCATTCTTTCAAAGATATATGTTCCCTACCTTAACAGCTTATGGTGATCAGTTATAAATATAATAATCAACAAGAGGAGTCGGAAATGAGGTCTGATGTAAAGAAACCTGCGTGTGTAAGCATTTGTTACAGAAATTGTATTTCATCTGCATTCGTTATGACAATTTCAGGTACGTTGCACCCGAGTACGCTGAGACTGGTCAGATTACGGAGAAGGCAGACGTTTACGCGTTTGGTGTAGTGTTGCTGGAGATCTTGACAGGGCGTAAAGCAGTTATTCAGCAGGGAGCTAAAGGCGGCGTTCTTTTAACAGACTGGGTAAGGGATATATTGAGGTCTACTGTGCTCGACAACTATCTGTTACTAGAATTCTAGTAGTTTTCAAGAGTATTCTATCAACTGTAGGGGAGTACTTATTTTAGCTGTATCTTTGCATTTCGTATTCGTAACTCTTACTTGTCAATCATTTTGTTTTTAACTTCGACTGTTCTTCGTTTCTTACTTTGAAAGTGAAACTTGGAATCTAGAATCAACACCACGATGAGATGTTTGTAGCCATCGTGTTGTTCTAGACGTTGTCTTTTCCAGCTAATCTATACTAGATCATTCACCTTTTTCTAATGACTTGTACTTCGATCTGAATCAGATGATGCGTGTTTTTATTTCTAAACCAAACACGATATACTTTAAAATTGCAGGCAAGGCCGCTGCTGGATAGATCTGATCTCGAATTAATAGACCCACGTCTCAGAGGAGCGGAATATGACAACAATATGTTCGAGATGCACTGCATGATGCATGCGGCCAGACAATGCATAAAGAAAGATCCTGGAATGCGGCCTCGTATGGCTCAGGTGTGCATGAGATGCGAATTGATTGATTTTTTTTGGGATGCGTAACTTACAGCCAGTGAAACCTGTTCTTACTCGTTGTCTTTACTCTCGTAGGTGACTTTGTGTTTGCTTAACCCGTATGAGTAGGTGATTTATCACTGTTCATTGATATCAAACACGTGGGTGTTCCAGGTCCTTCGAATTCTGGACCCACAGCAAGACGGAACAGAATCACTTCCTGGTCTTTCTGGCATGGGAGTGAGGAAGATTTCACCTGAGCAGCTACCCTTGTACACACCTCCTCCGGCTGTTACCCCATCAAGACTAGCAGACCCTGGGAGACCAAAGTCTGTCCCTGCTGTATCGGATACTCTGAATGATTGTGCTCATCCCTGGAACCCTGTGAGCAAGCCTTCACGCGGTCCTTTGGTTCGGATAAAGAAACCAAGCAAAAGCATGTTCTCAAAGGCAAGCAGAAGTGTGTCTGCTCCACGTCTCTCCTATGATGAGCAAAGGAATCTTGAAGACGAGGATGAGGGATGTAGGGATGGAGTGATTCTCTCCTATAACAGTATGCTGGAATTCGTGTGAAAAGAAAAAGAAAAAGAAACATTGTATATCAGGAGTTCCTGAAGGTCTTAAAGACGGTAAATGTGAAGGTTTTGATGTAGATGAGGGATTGCTTGTCATGAAAGTAAATGAAGCTTAGACAGATGTTTTGATTGTGCATTTATTTGAGCCTCATGGAATTGGAGCTTATAATACAGTTTAGATGTAGCCAATTGTAATCCTTTGCCAAAATCACACTAAAATGCATTTGCATTTTTTTAGAGGGGGACTGTAGCACGTTTTGGGCAACATCTGGCCAGTAGCCCCACCAGGTGCCAAGGTGATTTAATGTCCCCCTATATCCATACTTTTAATCCTAACCCATAGATTTTAAATTTCATTACATAAATCTTAATCTCGAGCTCCAACACTCTTTCCCAGCATGTAATGTGTGAAGGAAAATCAGAAATATGTAGTGATTTCCTCTTTGGCCCGAACGTATTGGCACAGTGTCAAAGAGCGTAGTGGATGGATGGTTTAAAGGATATTCATTCAATAGGACACCTCTTCCAATAGAAGGCATGGAATGTTGTAATAAACCATTTTGAGATTGCTTGTTGATCTAACAGTAATAATGGTTCACATATCCACTTAACAAAGTTCATTAATCATGTTGGTTTTAGTGGTCTCTTATTTTTATTTAATCAAAAAATTGTTAAAATCAAAATGACAAAATATTGAAATCAAAATTATATATTTTAGTATTTTTGTGATATAATAGAAATTTGTATCTTGACATTTTCCAGAGGTGTAATGGTGGTTTTAAGTTGTACACACAGAACATTATATATGTATAATTTTTATTTTATATTATTTATTTGGCATGATTTACCATCGGATATTATCAAAATAATTGTAAATTGTGGCAAATGAAACTAGAAACATTGTTGAATTAATATCACAATTTAAATTTTTTAAAAGAAATTACTTCAATTGAATTTTAGAATATTGGTTTGATTAAAATTTCTATGTCAAACTAAATATTAAGTAAAAACATACATTAAAATCTAACCAATTCCATGCCTCAAAAAACATCAAAAGAAATAAACAGCAAATGTAGACAACCATATACTTTTCTGTCTAACATTGGTTTATAGGATATGTTCTATTTTTGTTTACAAATTAAAATTTGAGCAAAATCTGGCAGCTATTTGCTTAATGTTAAAAACTTAGCAAGTATGAGTTTGTATCAAATAAACAAATATTATGATGAAGGTCCAATATGACTTGGCTAAAAGACTTTCATTGGTTCTTTTGGATTTATAATACCAAAACTTCATTATTCCTTAGATTTGCATAAAATATTTGAAGATGCTTTTTTCCAAGTTAAAACTTTGGATATTGCTCTAATTTTGTTTTAGGCCATGGTCCTTATTTTGCAAAGTGCTTTCAAAGATCTTTTCTAAGTAGAAATAGAAGTTGAAAAGAAAAATATATTATTTTAAATAATTGTAACTCTACTAATCAAATTTAGTTTTTGTGTATATTAGTGATTGGTTTGAGTACAAATTTTCAACCAAATCAATTTATAAAAGATGTAGCTATGTGGTTCTTTATATTAAATATGTCAAATTATGCTTTTTTTGCATTTACAAACAACCAACATTGTTGCACTAAGAATTAGAAATTTATGCTCAAAAGAGTAACTTGGAGTAATTTGTGATGGGAGTCTAGGAAGTTATCATAGAAATATTCTTCACTACAAATACATTAAGAATTTAAGAATAATAAAGTTTGGTATGGAAAAGCTTCAATTTTTTTTATAAAAGTATAAATTGTATCATATATTATTTTTATTTTAATTATTTTAAAAATATTTTTATTGGATTTTGCAAGTGTAAAGCGAAAATATTGATAGAAGTGTTTTGATAGTGTAAGCCACTTGTGTTTGAATTGAGGCAACTACTTTGAGAAGAAGAGGTATTAAATGAAGTTGAGAAGAACTAGCTTATTTGCACATTGAGACAAAATTCTACTATAGCAAGAAGTCTCATATTTTTCTAGATTCCCCACAATTCTCTTAACAATAAAGAATTTGTGAACATGTCCTTATGCAATTGAGGTAGTTTGGTAACTATTCCATACAAAGAATATTAGATATGTATAAATAAAAGAAACATTCATTTTTGGAATAACCATGAACAATTTGTATTTGCAAATAATCTAATATTCTAGTCTTGTACTAATCACATGAATGTACAATCTCATTTTATTTCAGACAACATTAATAGACAAGGTTTGCTTACAAATATTTTTGGATGAAAAATCTTTCAAAAATTAAATAGCAGAGGTTTAAAATATTAAATTTCTTGTAAATAAGTTAAAAATAGATATAAAATAATGATCTTAGTGATAAATAGCTTTATTTCAAAATTTATAATATGTGACTAAAGTATAAAGTAAGGAGAAGGAATGTGTGGTTTTAGTAAAAGATACACATTTTTGATATATGGTTTTGATTGTATATAAATAAAATATAAATAAAAAATTAATAAAAACTTAAAGAATAGAGTTGTGTCCTACTTCAAAAAATACTTGTCTATCAAGTTGGATGTATTTTATTTAAATTATCTATTTATAATTTTTATATAAAAAATACTTTTTATAATTTTAATTCAATTTTTAAGAATATTTTAGTAAGCTAAATATTTTAGTAACTTTTTTATTATATGTTTAAAAGAAACTTTAAGCATCATCAATTAAGATTTCTCAATATCTCTTTACTAAGCCATAATATTTGAGTTGAAGGATTTTAAAATATAATAGTTTTGTAGAATTTATTATTAATAGCCATATATTTCAATTATATTCATCTTTTTTGTTTGTCGTTTGGCTTAATTTCTAAAGTAATATCTCCAATACATGATTGTATTTTCTTATTTAATTATTTATTTTTATGATATGTGGAAATTTTGCATTTGTTAAGTGTTAAATTACTTTTTGCCTTCATTTTTAATTTGTTGTTTTGATCTTTTTTATAGAAATTCTATAAAGACTTAGAATTAGCTTATAAATGTAAAACTTTCTTATAAGCTATAGCATCTTTTTTACACTTAAAATAAACCAATATTTTAAATTGTTTATCTATAATAATTTGAAGAACTCAAATTCTTTTCCAAATTTAATATTTCAAAGTGGTACTACAGTTATGCTTTAGATATATATATTTTTAGATTTTTACAAGTAAATTAAAAAAATTAAGATAATTTGTATATTTATTATATATTTATTAATTTTTTTCTATTGAAGACTATATATAAAAAAACTTATAGCATATAATGAAACTACATTTTAAGACAATTTTAAATTTATGTACTTCTATTTGTTTTTTTTATACTTAAGGTTTTTGAGTATCTTGATTGCATCTATGTACTTTACAATTTTTGCTTAAATATTCAAGACACATAAATTAAGTTGTGAAGGACCTATCATGATTTGTGGTTCATTTCTTCTGAAATTTGCAACTTAAGTAATTTACAATACATAAACCTTATTTGTGTTTCATAAACGTTTTTTTGGTCACTAAACACTTTCGTCTCTAACAAAGTATTTGTGGTAAGGTCTTTGTTTGCAAATATGAAAGAAGAATAAGAAATATTAAGAGAATTTGAAGCATCACTTATTTCTTCTTCTACTACTTTTAAATAATCAATTTGATTCTATTTTTTAAAATAAAATAATAATATTTTATATTATTCTTAGTTAGATCAACATGAAGTTAGATTCTAAGTTATATTGATATTTATTTATTTTAAAAAATAATACTTCATAGTATTAAGTCTAAAATTAAGAGTTTTTTTATTTTTTATTTTTTATTTTTAAATATTTTGCATATTCTACTTCCAAACCAAAGTCATAACTTTTCAACACCTTGAAATCCAATTATTTATTTATTTTTTTGGTTTTTTTTATTATTCTTTAATATTTATTCTAATTTATAAAAACTTATCTACATCTCTTTGTTTCTTCAAATAATATTAATTTGATACAACATTTCTAGCATCAACAAACTTTTTTACATCAATTCATTTTATTTTATTTTATTTTTGTTTTATTTTCGTATTTTTTTCAAAATAAAATCTATATGCCAAATTATCATAAATAAATTATATCCATAGTTATATTTTCTACAAATTTTTTTTACTTAATTCTAAGGTTAAGTCAACACATTGGATTCTTCTTTTGATACTTTATCTTCTTGTTATTCTTATTCTTTAGTCATGCAATTTTTCACCATCTTCTATAATATGGTACAAAATAAAAAGTAAGATGAAATAAAAAATTAATTGCACTATTGATGTTCAATGTGTAAATAAAATTATTACCAACAAAAATATGTTGTTCTAACTTCTTATTTTTTAAATTAACAAATATCATATCAAACTATTAATTCTTTCAAATCAATTTTTTTAAACTATGATTCTTATTTTATAACATAGGCAATGACAAAATTCTAACAACTTTGAATTAATATCACTTGTGCTCTTTCTATCTAATTATGTCCATTGGAGATTTTTTGATATTTTAATTTTCTAAACACAAATTTCATTATTAACCACCAATGGAATTTTATGATGTTTTTAATTTTTTTTGAATTTCCATATTCTAAAATTAAAAATAAACTAACCACCTATATATTTAAAGATTATATTTTAAATAAGTAAACTTAAATTTTTTTTAATTTTAAAAACTTGAATAATTGCATCACATGTAATATGTAGTAAAAATATTAAGTACTATAAACTATACTTTAAGAGATATGATGTTCACTTCAGACAAATACTTAAACAATGTCATCAATGCTTCATTGGATTATTGCAACTTAAAAGACAGATAAAAATATGATATGTATTACAAAAGTTTATTTTGTTCATAATTCGTAATTTAAAACTATAAGTCTAAAGAGGTCTAAAACCTTAAACATCATATACACTGACCAAAGTGTGTACTGACCACAACTCTGGTGGAATCCCAAGACCATATTGATCTAGACCATATTGTCCTTTAAAAGATGATAGTATCAAAAATCCTTTATAGTTTGCTTCCAAGCTACAATAGGGTTATTACCGCATGGTCCAATGTCCCAGATAATGAACAAACAGTCGATTACTTAGAAGAATGGCTACTTCTTCATAAGAGTTTAATCCAACACCAAGGGGGAGGAGATCATGAGGCCTACCATGCTTTCTTTACTTGTTTGAATGTAATATCAACACATCCTCTCAACAAGAAGGAACAGCAACAGAAAGACATCAACTACATCCGAGATTTGAAATCACGCACCAAATGTTACAACTGCCATGAGATTGGACATTGCTAGGCAAATTGTACAAAGCCAAAGAAGAGAAGGTTACACAACAAAGATCTA